CACCTAGATTCTTTCATTTTGAATAGGTTAATAGTAGATATAGACCTACATGCTTTCATTTTGAATAGGTTAATGGTAGATATAGACCTAGATTCTTTCATTTTGAATAGGTTAATAGTAGATATACACCTAGATTCTTTCATTTTGAATAGGTTAATGGTAGATATAGACCTAGATTCTTTCATTTTGAATAGGTTAATAGTAGATATAGACCTACATTCTTTCATTTTGAATAGGTTAATGGTAGATATAGACCTAGATTCTTTCATTTTGAATAGGTTAATAGTAGATATAGACCTACATTCTTTCATTTTGAATAGGTTAATAGTAGATATAGACCTACATTCTTTCATTTTGAAGAGAAATTTGTTTGTGTTTATTCGTATTTCAATGTTAAGTACTGGTACTGGCTTTCAATAAAATCTGCATACTTTATTAGCATCGCGAAAAGACAAGTCCATGGTTTGAATTGTCCCCAAATTTGCACAAATATATTTGTTTGACAATACAAGACATTCAGTAGAAACATGAAATCAATGTCCTGTAATATTTTAGATTCTTGATATGTTTTCTTTATTGTCTTTTCAGGAGAAATGGGAACCAAACCAAAACCATGAAAAACTAAAACCTAAGAAGAATATACCAGAAAATGGGAATTTTTCTACCAAATGTGCCAACATATTTGAACTAAGTCTCTTATTTATTTTTTCGTATTAATTTGAATCATCAAAATCGTTCAAAATGAGTTCCGAATCGAAACGGAAATCAAAAACCCCAATAAAGTTGACCACCAGTTTCGTTAATCTGTGCAGATTCTGTGGACGTCAGTTCGACAACATTGAGGACTTGCAGGTGCACAGTCAAGCACATTTTAGCGAGAAGCCGCCACATGTTTGTTATGTCTGTGGAAAAATGTACAGCACTCCTTCAAAATTGCAACGTCATGTTCGAGTCCATAGTGGAGAGCGTCCCTACGCCTGTTCTATCTGTGGAAAGAGGTTTACGCGCTCGGATCACGTAAAACAACATTTGAAGGTTCATATGCCCCAGCGTCAGAAGAATATGTGTCGACTGTGTGGAATGAAATTTATGAGGAGACAAACCTTACAGGTCAGTGGGAGAGATTTTCTAAGCACGATGACCAGTTCTAGGTCTTTGAATTCCTTGTTCCGAGAGAACAGCAAAGTTTTGAATTGTTTTATTGTTGAATAGAGGAAAATGTTGCGTGCTGGTGGCTTAACTCTGGCCTATGATGATTAATTTCACTTAAGGAAGAAGGAAGAAACACTGTTGTCCTGTCCTGTCATATGACTTTGTTAGGCTTACA